TCTTTATATATTATATTTCGAACCAAATACTTTTTTTTTTGTGTAGTGTAGGAATATAATGTAGCGGTCATGTGACCGTTCCAATCTCATTCTGTGGTATAGCGGTGGGCAAGGAGTGGTGGCAACAGAGGGACTGCATGTCCCGGAAGTCTATGTGGTTCAGGCACCTGTGAACTGTTGGGCCAATAGTAAAGACCACCGGCTGTGGTGGTTGCGTCAAGTCACCTCTGAACTATTGAGAACTGCAGTGGGGCATCAAAACAGCAGCTGTGATGGGAAATGACAGCTAGGGGTCAATAGGCCAAGTACCCACAAAGCGGGAGGACAGTAGACAAAGCTGCCCTTCATGCAGAACATGGAGCTGTAATGCACAGTAGAGTCGGGACCCCTCTGCAACTGATATATGTAAAACAACAAACTGGAGTTCTGCTTTACTGCTCATAGTTTGGCTGTTGGTGTTACATTGGCGTTCTGCGGCCCTTTAAGGGTTGCACATATAATGCGGTGTGCTGTATATGTGGCGCGGTGGGTTTGGTTACCGCCATACACGAAAGCAGCTGTGACGGAGGAATTTAATTCCTTTAAAATAAAAAAATATCTCCTGGACTCTGTAGAGTTGGTTGTCGGCACTTTCACCGCTTATGTCAACAGACATTAAAAAAAACGTGGCCTTGTACACGGCGTCAAAAGTGTCCAGTGTTCTAGAGGGTAGGTGTGCCGCCGCCGCTACATGGCCGAGCTGAGCTGGGCTTTCCCTTCTGAGGCCATGATATCCTTGGCCACCTCGGCACAGTTGTTCCTGTCGCTGAGCTTCTCCTTCAGCCTGCAGAGCTCATATTCGTGGAGGATCTTCTGCGTCAGGTACTTCTCACGTTTGACTCTGGCCTTCACTTCGGACGGGACGTCGGGAATCAGCCAAGCCACGAAGAACTTGACCACGAACACAACGTGCTGCAAGCGGGACACAATTTTACATTCATTAGGACTACTCTTAACCAAACCTAAACCTGGGGAAAGTTATTATTAACCCTTCCATTATGAATCTACATCTGACCCAACCAATCCTTGAGGTCCTTGTTCAGAGGTATGGTCTGGGGAGGTATTCCATGTTTGGACCACCTTCCCAGAGTGTTTTATACTTGAGCTTTTGCCTGTATAGGGCAGGGGTAGCCAAACTCCGGCCCTCCAGCTGTGGGGTGGAACTACAAATCCCATGAGGCATTGAGAGATTCTCACAGCCACGACTCCCGGAGAGAGATGCATCATGGGATTTGTAGTTCCACCACACAGCTGGAGGGCCGGAGTTTGGCAACCCCTGGTATAGGGTGTCCGCATAGAGGGATCTCTACTTGGGCCTGCCTCAGCCTGGGACATGTGCTGGAGCCCCAGAACTTTAGCTTCCTGGTGACATGTATATCTGCATGGAGCTGGTCTAAAGAACAGAAGGAGCAATGGTGGAACTACAAATCCCATGAGGCATTGAGAGATTCTCACAGCCACGACTCCCGGAGAGAGATGCATCATGGGATTTGTAGTTCCACCACACAGCTGGAGGGCCGGAGTTTGGCAACCCCTGGTATAGGGTGTCCGCATAGAGGGATCTCTACTTGGGCCTGCCTCAGCCTGGGACATGTGCTGGAGCCCCAGAACTTTAGCTTCCTGGTGACATGTATATCTGCATGGAGCTGGTCTAAAGAACAGAAGGAGCAAGATCTTTCAGCAGAATTCTGGGTAGAAGCTACTGCTGGACACTGCAAGATTCACAACCCATGAATTACAGTATCTTTTGACATCTGCTGTCAGGGGGTCAAGAGCCAGTCTTGTTAGAGTGAGATCCACTGCAATTTAAAGAAGAACTCCAGTTATATAAAAAGTTAAAGTTAGCATGGGGGGGATTTATCAAAACTGGAATAGGCAGAATCTGGAGCACTTGCCCATGGCAACCAATCAGCATCTCTCTGCAGTTTGCTCAGGTAAGATTGAAAATGAAAACAGAGAAGCTGATTGGTTGCAGTGCAAATCTGTCTGCTCCAGTCTGGATAAATTCCCCATAAGGTATCTTTGACTGGTACCAGAGGATCAAGGACCAGATCTATTAGAGGGAGAGGTCCGCTACAATTTCAGAAGGACCGCGGCTTCTCTTAAAGGGACATAGATCTCACCAAAAGGGTCTGCTGCTACTTTCAGAAGTCCTATCCTATTTCTGAACTCTTTTTGGCCATTCTGAACCCCTAAACCGTCTCTTCTAGAATTGAATTTGGTAACAAAACGTAAAGAGACTAAAGTGACCGACACCCAACTGAATTTCCCCCACCATACACCAAGAACCAGACCCTGAGATGGAAATGTTAGTCTGCCATACTACTTAGGGGGTCATTCCGCATCACCTCCAGGGGAGGAGTGCTACGTTGATAAGGACCGGCGCACTTTTAATCCGAGTCTACAGCTTTAGTCCCCTCTCAAGAAAATGTTTACACTGCCCGGTGTGCACGGGGCCAGCACGGAGGTACGACGGTGATATCGGAGGCACACCTACCTCCATGATGATGATAAAGGCCATTTTAGCCGCCAGGATGTGCCAGAATTGCATGGTGTGCACGTATCTCCTCTCGTGTTCCGGAGGATAGCGATAATCTCGGTACCTGGTCAGCAAAAAGAAACAAAGAATGTTACGTTCAGTTGGAGAACTACGAAGGCTCCTCTACTGGTATACATTCCAGTCTAAATATAAACTTTTCTACCTTTTCTGATGGCAATATTGTCCTCCCGTTACCCTAAGGAGAACTATGGGGAAAAGCCTTAACCTCATAGTTCTCCTTTAACATTTTTCCAGTTTCTAAAGCTGGGAGGAGCAAACCGCAGAGTGAAACTATTACAAAGCCAGACTCATGTCTCTGATGAAACTCTACGGACATTCCAGAGCCGGTCCGGATGGGACAGCAAGTCTACCAGGATGTTATGGATTATGGGTGGAAAGCGGATCACCAGGTAGAAAACCCCAGCCCTGTTTTGCCCCTGTAACATCTTATACATGCGGGAATGTATACAGTTTCTACAATAATGCCCTTCTCAGCTATATGATGAATTGTTAGCATATAAGTACAACAGACAAAGAATAAAGCGATGAAATGAACAATATTTCCACCTGCAGAGGGTGACGTTCAGTACGTTCTCCAGCGGCATGCTTTGCTCATTAAAGTCCGAAACATTGAACTCGGCGAGGCTACTGCTGATGTAGCCGGACATGGGGACAGCCTCGTTATTGGAATAGGCGTAGTAGTAGACCAGACGCGGGATCATGTCAGAGGTGAAAGCAACGATGAAAGCCTAAGGAATAAAAATATAACAAAAGGGCTGTCAATGTGAAGTCAGCGTAATCCCAGCTGATTAGTTCATGAACAATTGTATTTTTTTTTTAAAAGAACAAGTCTTTTTTTGGCCTTTTTTTTTACCCCTTTGTTGCATGTCCGTGTTTCTGATCTCCTGCATCCTTTTTGCTACGGATACATTTCGGGTTCATTGCTACACGGGGGTTCAAGGCAAATCCTTCAGGGTTTGAGAGTCATAGTCCTGGTGAAATTATGGGCATATTCACCCCGGAGAATTGTTTTAAACTGTAATGTACTTCATGACCCCTGAACAATGGACAGCTGGCTCAGAAGGGCCTGTAAAGGGTCTTCTGGATAAGCCAGCTGGTGTATTTTAATTCTGATTGCAAGCTCCGTGTGCAATCGGTCCCTTTGGTGCCTTGCTATTTATTATTATTGGGGTTTATTTTTCTTTTCTTTTCTTTGTAGTTGATTTAACCTTCCTGGCTGATTATCTAATTTTTTTTCAATTTTTTTCTCTTAAATCTCCCGCCGGTTCCACCCCCCCTGCGACGCGGGCGCTCGCAAGGGACGGAACCCGGAAAATGGATGCCGGCATTGGCTGGAGGACACGGCGGGGCTCGTGGACAGGGTAAGTTATGCACAGTTTAATCTCGAGTGCGGCTCGGGGTTAC